TATATATTCTACTTTCTGAGTTTCTACCTAAATAATCCTTACCACGTAGGTGTTTTTAGGGCTGTGTATTGGCAAGATTTTAGTGATATGAAGCATATCGAGACACAGGCATCACAATCCATCCATTAATTTCTAATAAAAAATAAATACAGTGCTTTTGAAAATCGATACAGTATTAAGAAATGAAGTATTGCAATACATTTCGGTGTGTCAATATTTTTCTTAAACCCCTAGTTTCTATATCCATCCACCCATTATCTTAAGCTGCTCCTTCCCATCTGGGTCACTGGAGCCCATATCCAGCAGTCATTGTGCAAGGGGCAGKGTACACCCTGGACAGGTCACAAGTCCATCACAGAGACAAACCATCATTCACTCACTCACACCTATGCACAAGTTAAAGTTACCAATTAACCTAAAATTCATGTTTTTGGTCTGTGGGAGGAAACCAGAGTACCTGGAGAAAACCCATGCATGCAGAGAGAGAMCATGCAAACTCTACCCAGGAGGATCCTCGGGCCRGGATTCAGTCTGGCAACCWTCTTGCTGAGARGCATCAGCTCTACCAACTGAGACGCCTGTTTAGTTTTATAGATTTTCTTAAATTCAGGCAATAGTCATATAGAAACGTTCATCTGCTCACATCACATTAGCTCAAAGTTGGTGCCAAAACTGAAAATTAAAATACTTGGGATTATTTCGATCAGTCATAAAGAAGACAAAAAAATGACCTTGTGCTGAAGAGTATTGCAGTGACCATGTCCATTGTAGTATGATCTTGTTATTGTWTGTTATATGTTAAAACCTGGTGTAAACCTATTCAGTGAGACAAGCTAATACTTTAGGCTTACATCAAGAGATACAGTAGGTAAATGAAAAACCMACACATAACAAAGACTTTGTTTCGTTCCAGGAATTAAACGACCGTCTRTGTACATCGCTGTGCAGTAACCAGGTCGAAGCAGAAGTCATTGTTCACTCTGAGCTGTCAGACCCTGGCAGGGAGAAAGAGGAGGAGGAGGGGGGTAGCACCAGAGGACCCTCATTATCAGAGGACATTTACTCCCCTTTGAGTCAGCCAAGTTCCCCAGGAGAGGAGGAACCAATAGAAAAACTTCCACTGGCTGAAAGTCCCTCGAATCTTCCCTCAAAAACAATTGTGGCTAAACACAACAGGGAGACAGGAGGCGCAAGGCACCAGCCGACTGCAGGCGCAGAGCTACAGCAGGACACGGCGCTAACCAATGGCTTCCACTCTCCGAAGACTGTGAAGCCTGTGCTGAGGTCAGAGCAATTGGAAAATGGAGACTCCAGACACTGCCCGTCTGCAGCAGGGAAGGCCATCTCTGCTGGACCTTTTGTCAGCTCTGGCTTTGTCCACTCTACCTCAGCAGCACAGACATATCTATGTCCATAGTTTCTGCATGAAGGGCTTCAGCCACACATAAACATTTCAGACTGATTTCATTCTGCAGATCCCGGAAGAATTCATAGGAAATATATTTTATGCACATAGTTATTGGATCTCTTTCTCTTCCTTGTGTAGCTTTATAAGTCTTTTAAATCAATCATGTCGTAAGTGTACAAACTAGATACAAATCATGTGTGTTTGTGGCGAACAGTTCATGGGTTTTCTATTTTTGCAGCTGCTCTGTCCTCTCAGTTTTTTTTCCTGTKCATAAGGAAAACAAGGAAGTTGGAACACAACAAGGCAGATGGATGTGATTTGGAGAAGGCCAGTCTGACTGTCMCACATGGCTCTGTTTCACGCAGGAATGAGAAAAAGACAGCAAGCGCAGKAGCATCTGGGCAGGTTATCATCAGTAATACTGAGGCATAAGCTTTGTGAAGTATCTGCACCCTGTGAGAGGGTGGAACAAATGGGTTTCTCTCCAATATCCTGCTGTCTCAGGGTCCAAACTCTCACACAYCGAAACACACACAGGGATCACAGCCAATTCCAGCCGTGCATAAACGCACATCTACACACATTTTGACAGATAAAGAGTCTCAGGTGCCTAATTATTCTAGGTGCGTTTACACCCAGTATCTTTCTATGGACGATTGTAGTGTAAGTRCTAAACATGTCAACATGAAGGAAAAATGCTTAGATAGATGTACAGATTTGGTGCACTTGATGCTTCTTTTCTAATGCGCCATTTTTCCATTTAGTGGGGTTTTGTAAAGCAGGGGCGCTCAGTTTTAATAGTTTAATAGAAAGATCAAATCGAATCCCAAAATCAAGGAAATTAAATGTTAATTTTGGTCTTGTTTTCATTAGGTGTGAGGGGAGAACAAAGAGAGATTTTACAACAATCCATCTGCAGACCACTCTCCTGCTTASCTCCTAAAGTTGGGATGTGCCAACATCCTTAATGATCTCAGTATAATGTGCCAACAGCTGAAGCCCCCCCACCCCACCACCCCCATTTTAAAAAGTAATGCGTTTTTGTTACATACTTGCCAAGTTTATAATATAGGAAATATGTAGCGGTTTAAAAACTAAAGTTCACAAATATTCTTTCTGGTATTGGAAAAGAACATTTCTAAAGTTTATGAAATCTCACTAAATATKTCATGTGTGCTGCAATATTTTCTAACAGTAAGTCAAAAAAAGGTCCTTTGATCAGGTGTTATGACTGGTACRTTATTTTTGTATAGGTAAGTAAAGCTGGCAGCAGTGTACAGAGASATTCGGTGCATCTCTTCTTTGTGTCAACGTCACTACCTCATTTCTTTTCAGGAAGGTTTTCAAGGTTGTTTGTTTTTATGTAACTAGCACCTTTGTATGACAATCTTTTTTCAATTTCTCTAATTCTCTGACCACCTTTGGTATTTGTAAAAAAAATATTGTCTGACAATGGCTTTATGGTCTTGCTTTATGTAAAATTGAAAATGATGTGTTTTCAGTGCATCGCTTGCTGCCATGCCTTGCCCCCAATAGCTGGTGATAATGAGGTATCATGAAGCAATGGACAGATTTTCAGGAAACTTTCAGAAAGCACTTATTTGAAATAATCTTAATCTGATAAACCTTTGAGGTCAACTTGTTTCGTTGTGGCCACCACAGCTATTTGGCATTAGCAAATAAAAAAATGTCTAAAGCTCAGTCAATTATACTAACTAAAGTTTTGTATGGTAGTGACTGAGAGTCATCCCTAACACACTGAACACTAACAGATTGTGAAAGACCTTTGCTTAAAACATCAGCTTACAGCTATGTACTGTATTCCTACAATATATGCCTTCTAGGACTGCTTTTGTTTTAATTTTTTCTAAATTTTAGGGCAAAACTGACACTTCTGAACTGAACCAAGTCTGGTTCTGATGTGAAGCWTCCTAAATCTGTAATGAAGTTCTGAAGATGTAGTGAAAGTTGCGCCATTTCGTCAGCATGAAGCATTTACAGTCGCAGCTGGTGCCGTTGTCTTTTGCACGTTATCCATCCAGCACTTCACAATAGACTTACTGGAGGCCAATAACACTGATTTTTTTTCACTTGTCAAAAAACAGAAAGTAAAAAAAAAATGACCTTCACACTCAGTGGTGGGCACAGTTCCCTTAAAGCACTAAAGCACTAATAGGGGAACTAATTTCCTGATCAGTGCTTTTGCTAATTTCTTAATTCATTTGTGGATTAGCATTTGCTAAATTTATGAGCACTAAATGAGTTCTTTAAATATTATTGATCAATATTATTGCCAGCAGCTGAGGGTGAAAGCTGTCTGACGTGTTGGTCATATGTGTGTCACTTATCCACTAGATCAGTGGTTTTCAAACTTTTTTGTTTCCGACCCACAAGATAACAGTTGCAGAACCGTGACCCCATATATTACTTGTTTATGTATGCAAACTTTGCTAATAACACTGTTAAACATGGGAATAATAACTATAAACAAACTTAGTAACTATGATACAAATTTTTGTTCATTTATGATTATTTCAAAAAATTGCAATAATCATGACGAACATATTCCATTAGCATTTTTTTTAAATTGATGTCTGGAAATCATCTGGGGACCCTCACTTGATGTTTTGGGACCCACAAAGAGGTCCCGACCACAACTTTGGGAACCACTACACTAGATGAAATATTAACAATATTCTGCACACAGAAAATATTCTCTCATGTTGATTCTGAGGAATGTTCCATATGTCAGCTGGGTTTTTGTGCTTTAGAATTAGCTTTTGTTAAAATTTTAAGTGTGTGTGCGTTAGAATTAGGGGACTTAAATGTTAAAGTTAGTGCTTTAGAGTTAGTGCAAATATTTTTAAGATTAGTGCTGCCCACCACTGTTCACACCTAACATTTTGTTCAGCCTCATTGCTTTTCTCTTGTATTTTTACTAATTCATAGTGTTTGTATGTGTGTACAGTTGATTTATACAGTACCAAAATATTGCAAAATATTTTGCAAAAATATTCAGCCCCCTTGAACTTTTCAACCTTTTGCCACATTTCAGGCTTTAAACATAAATATATAAAATTTTAATTTTTTTGTGAAATTTATCGGATTTTTAAACTTTTTAACAAATAAATAAACTAAAAAATTGAGCGTGCAAAATTATTTAGCCCCCTT